CTTCAGATTCGAGTGGATCAAAAAGCATCAGCCCCATATAGAGCATGCTCCTCTCCACCGTTTGAAAGACCTCAGGATGTCATTGCCAGCGCCGGGGCGACAAACTTCAAAACCGTAAGCCCAAGCCGAGTAGCAGTGAATGGCCGCGCACCACGGTCCTTCCGCCAAAGAAGGTTGTGCCTGGTGACACCGGGGTCAGGACCTGAGGCGGGCGATTAATTATTTAAATTCGGTTCTGTCGTTCATCAACTTCAGATTTGCTGTTGAGCCAAGGCACAGCAGGCAAAGTTGTCGAAGAACAAGCCGTTTGAGTTGTAAAACCATCTTCCGCAAGACGCCACAGCTTCGCGACCGCTCTTCGTGACCTTAATTTAAAAGCTTGAAATGTCCCAGGATCGGATTGAAAGTCATTGACGTTTCAGATCATGGTATCATGTCTCGGTCTCAAACACGCTTAAAGCTAATGTGACCAGTGCAGCTCGCGTGTTGCCAGTGCGGCGCTTGGTGGTGTAAAAATAGCCACTCGTGTCGCCGACCGGACCTGAGGTGACAGTGACAGCGCTCAATCAATCTGCTGCAGGTACCATCTGAATCCGACGAATTATTCAGTGATGTCCCCGCCTCTGATGTTGGTATTTAAAGATGGAAACGCGCTGGAACTCATCCGAGCGTGGATGACGAAACTCATCACGGCACCAGGTAGCCATAACTTCCCAGACCCGATTCAGAACAGGCTTCGGACTGATTAAGGCCAAATGCCTGCGAGAGGCGGAGCTATCTTGTCTGACAATTGTAAATTAGTAATAATATTAGATTATTTATTATGTCAACGTTCAGTTCAATGGCAAAGTGGCTTTGCAGCATCAGCCCAACGACAAAGACGCGCATATTATCCGTCGGCGTGTTGCATCTTGACGTGGTGCCGCTCAACCGATGGTTCTCGGCCCGCAGGCCTGCGCCCGGTTCTCGGCCCGCAGGCCTGCGCCGGGAGGTGCTGAGAATAAACCGATGCGCCCGAAGGCGCTTAAATGTTCTCACGGCCCGCCGGCCTGCGCCCTCTGAACCCGAAGGTTCTCGGCCCGCCGGCTTGCACCCGAAGTGCTGAACCCCGAAGGTTCTCGGCCCGCAGGCCTGCACTCGAAGGTGCTGAACCGAACCCGAAGGTTCTCGGCCCGAAGGCCTGCACCCGAAGGTGCTGAACCCGAAGGTTCTCGGCCCGAAGGCCTGCACCCGAAGGTGCTGAACCCGAAGGTTCTCGGCCCGAAGGCCTGAACCCGAAGGTGCTGAAACCGAAGGTTCACTCGGCCCGCCGACATGCACGACCACCCGACGGCGCTGAACTTGATGCCAGGTTCTCGGCCCGCAGGCCTGCGCCAAGGGCCCTGTTCTCGGCCCGCAGGCATGCGCGCGAAGCTGTGCTGAACTTGAACTCGGGCCTGCAGGCCTGCGCCCGCAGTGCTCAGCCAGCCAGGGGGTCCAGGCCCAGGCCTGTTTTTAATGTATGACTTTAACATTGCCTGCCGGGGCCTGCAGGCCTGTGCCCGCACAATAAGTGACGAGGACGAGCTGATGACGAGGAGTCTCTGAGCCAACTTCAGCAGTCATATATATATGATGAAGACACAATTTATTATATACGAAGAACCCTTCTCTGAATCGCCACAGAAGCCACAAACTAACTTGAAAAACTCAGAGTCAAAGCAGCAAACTGCTTCTGCTGGGCTGGCCAGTCTGAACCAACCACAGAGCAACCAGGCAACGTAATAATGCTACAACATCAGTGGCAACATACCCTGACAGAGCACAACAGTGCAACCATGCAACAACAAAACGTCGCCCAGTACCGCAGAAACATCTGTTGTGTGCACCAGAACACACAAGGTGTGTCACAGGGGTGCCTGTGTTGTCTCCAGATGTTTTGTGCCGTATGAAACATTTCGTGTGCTTCAAACGCAGCTCACAACACATGTTGTGCTTCCTCTCCGCCGCGCATGTTGTGCACACCGCACTGTACAGTGTGTGTGTGCTTCACATTGCTTGACAAAGGAATAGCCTCACGATAAGCCCTAGTGACACCCACTTCTTTTCACTGACAAACAGCGATGTGTTTGGAAGGAAAGACGCGCCCAAGCAGACCAGAACATCCCACAACTGATGCCCTCAACAATAGGCGGAGCAAGAGAACACTTGACTCCTTTCACGCCCACTTCTGCTTCCAGCAACAGAACATGCTGTGTGCCGTAACAGAACATACCATCATAGTGTAACTAAAACACTTTGGGGCACTGGGACCCACTGCCTGAGCATACCCAGGGGTTCTGTCCTTCTGGACCTCGCGTGATGTGGCCGAGACTGGTTTGCCGAACACACAACATGTGCTGCGGTGCACACAACATGTGCTGCAGTACTCACAACATTCGCTGTGCTACTCACAACATGTGTTGTGGTGCTCGCAGCACATGTTGCGGTGCCCGCAAAAACACAGCCACACAGAAACCACACGGTGAGCACAGGCAAGGCAAGGAAACGCGGCAGAGATCGAGGGGGGAAAAAACAAAAGGTGACTGGTCTTCCGTTGTTGTTGTTGCTACTGCTGGTGCTGCTGAGCACTGTGATGAAACCAAACCGTGGCAGCTGTTTTGACCTGCGCGAGCTGGTTGGTTTGCTTTTCGCCCATGCTGTTCTGCAATGGCTGCAAGCGGGGAACTTTGGCTGCACACCCCGGCGCACCAAGTGGTCAACCTCGTTTGCAGCCTTCTTGTTTGCCGCACAGGCGTGGAACAGGCTCGCGGAAAGAAATACAGCGCGCTGCCAGCTTCTTTTACCAGCCTGCTGAACCTCCCGGTGAAGCTTGAGTTTGGGGGAGGTCAGCGAAAGCGAGCTTGGACCATCAAGACCTTGCTCCAGAAAATGAAGGTGTGTTTCTGGCCCCTCGGCTGCGCAAAATGTGTGTATTGTTTTAGTGACCCACTGCCATGTAACAATAAAAGGCATCCTACCACAAATACAACACCGCGTTCACACTTAACTTAACGAAGACGAGGGGACATGGCAGTGGCCCAAGAACATCTTCACGAACTGCAACCCGGAGAAGACATGAAATAAGTTTTTGAGTTGTGTGGCTTGGAACAAAGCTAAGTTGTAAAAGTTCGTTCTGGGGGTTGCGCCCCCCAGGTTACCTCATGACGTTGATGGCCACAGAGAAGTTTGCAAAAGCTCTCAACGATCTGCTGTATGGATATTGCGTTGAGCATTTTCTTTTATTTCATATTCGGTGTATATTTTTTCTAAATATAGATGTATATATAGGATTTGCGGGTGGAAGCAATTTTTTCGATTATTCAAATTTTCATTTTCTTATATATAATATACGTGAAAATGGTATAAGTTTATTACTGAATTGAATATTGCTTTTGGAGCAATGATTTTACTCTAATTGTAGAATTTTCTTTATGATATACAAACTTTTGATATATATATAGCTATATTGTATCCAGCATTGCATATATTTTTATATTGCATACTGATAAGAAAAACTGACTGTTGCTTTAATTTCTGAACTAGGAAAATTTATTCTAATCTAAATATGGTTGATATCGAATACAATAAAATATTTTAAGCACAAAATTTCAATTGCCATTGTAATAAGTATATATAAACTATAGGAAATAGCAATGATACATTAATTGTTCTCCGGAATTCCTTCTTAAAAGCAAATATTATCATGCCAGAATCAAATGAATACAAAAATTACTAAATTTTCTTTTTGCAATGTATATTTAATTTCGAATTAGACAAGGTGTTTAAATCAAAACTATGTAGTTCTGTTTTCGAAGTTGAATATAACTTTACTATAAATATTCATTCTAAATTTTGATTTTTTTGTAGTCTCAAACAAATACATAAACATACAAAATACTTGATTATATTAATGATAGTGAACTGAAAACTTTCAATAGAAGAGTACAATATCATAAATTTAGCATGTTTAGTCAAAAACGAAAACCAGTTATTCGATAAAACTATATTTGAACTTAGGAAAAACGTATAAAAATGAAAAACCAAATTAAAACATAAAGACTGAATTTCACATGCATATATTTAGTAAACATAGTATTTCATGAATGCATTCATTGTTCATAGGTATGTATAATATACAACATATAAGCAAAAAATAGCATTATAAGTTCAAAATACTATGACAAGTACAAATATATTGCATTAGTTTAATATAATTTACAGATATGGAACAACCATACATTGTTTAACTCCAATAGTTTACTTTTGCATAACATGTAAATAGCGATTTCAAAGATCAAACTACTACATATACATATATATATATCGTATATTTTGAAGAAGTAAATACATAGATGGAATGAGTTTAGGTACAAAACAGAATCAGTATAGAATCGAAAAGTAGTTTTAAATAGAAATATATTTGAATAATCTATTCAAATCTGAAAATAGGAAATATGTTTTCATGCCATAAATATTGCGTAGGAAATGCTTTAGGTTTGTATATATATATACAAATAATTAGAAATTGTTAAGATACTGTTCGATTGAACTAAGAAATTAATTTCCATTGATTTTATATACTGAAATTATTTGTATATATTTCTGATATCATTTTTCAATAATCGATTCTTTGTTATCGAATACTAATCATGCTAGATATAATTCATTAATGATATGTACTAAAATTTCTTGAACTTATCTCATGAATTAGAAAGTGCATTTTTTGCATATCGTATCGAGAATGACAATTTTTACAAAACAAAAATGATAGTAAGAACATATATACGAGAATGTTTTCTAGATTGTCCTTTTCCAAATTAGATTTTGAATTCGTGTTATGAATTGAACATGGTCTGGAAATATCTTCCGGGGTCTTTCTGGGGTAGCGCAAATTCCAGTCCCAGACAGGTTGTGTTTGGGTATCACCCCAGTTCGAGAGCTTCGACGGACGTTCACCTTCGTCGCCAGAATCTCCTGAGGTCGAAATCCAGCAGTTCTGCGGCGATGGGCGCCTGGCAGAGGGCGCCTGGGAAGATGGATGGAAGTGGTCTTTTTATTCGAGCAAACGGAGGATCAAGGGCCTAAGTGGCTGAGTTGAAACCAGCAAGCAGTTTTTGTTCGTGTTCAGCAAGAGCGGAGACTCTGGACTGCCGTCCGCGCTGCGTAACGGAAGGCTTGAAAAGATTTTTATGTTTGCAAGTGGGCTTGGGAGAATCACCACACGGATGATCCATGCAACGGGGATGTGGGCATCTTTTGGTTTGTATCTCACGACTCATTTTACTCCCATGGTAGTGGCGGATTAGGACTCCCAAATGGGGTAAAAGGAGTCATTGGAAGTTCGGGCTTTGTTTGGGTGCTACAACTGTATGATTAATTTTGGAGAAACTCTGAGAACTATGGAGCAGACGCTTGAGATATCATAAGAAGATGAGATGCGAAACATGTTGCATCAGAACAAGGAACTTGTTGATGGGGTTGTTCAACCACTCAATCGGAAGATGGGCATATATGTAGCATGTTCCATATATTTCCCGTACTCTATCCTACATTCTCCAGCTACATAAACCTTTTCACCAAAGCTAATCCAAACACTTTCTTGCAACCCCCAATCCATTAGCCTAAACAAACCTTAAACCTTGAAGGCTTCTCAAGGGTTGCTTTATGGCGATGCTTCACACACAGCGACCTCCCTCCAGGCCTGTACAGTTCGAAAGGTGAGCCTCTGTCTTGACATGTTTTGACGAGATGTGTCCCAGATCTCCCAAAGAAATTGCCAGATCTGCCCGTTTCGTTGGGGGATACTTTTTCTTTTGGCTGTGACAATCCCAAGAAAATACCGAGCTCCACAAAATACCAACTTTCCCCACAGAGGTTTTTCAGGACCCTATAGACATCTATAGACCTATCTCAGTTGGGTACCCCAGGTAAGTAGGGTCCCCCCAAAACCAGGTCACTGGATATATAATATATATATATACCCTAGACTGCCAAGACCATTTAAAAAATGTTTGACCTGGTTTTTGTAGTGTAAAATCCCTAGTTGATTCGGTAAAGCATATTAAATTAATGGTTGTTGGACGCCTAGGGTATATATACCCCCTTGGAATCTCTGACTCGACCGACATTTTTCACGACGACTTCGTCTCGCACCGCGTCGGCCAAGACGCGGCACCGAGGCTTCCTTGGCGCTCTCGGAAGCCGAGCTCCAACAGCAGCTCCTGTCCTTCGAGGTGTCGATGCGACGGGTTGCCTCGCGTTTGGTCCAAGTGGAGTGTTTCCTTGCGACAAGCGGACGTTCGGACGTTACTAGCAAGAATGCTACTAGTAGGCATGGCCTTCAACCTCCACCAAATAGCGTCCTTCTTAGTACATAGGTTGGAGCCTACAAATAATTCGGTGCCAAGTCCTTAAGGCCCATATAATCATAAGCATGAGCAAACCTGAGGGTAGCTCTGTCCTATGGAATACTTCTACTGGAATAACAACGCTCACCTTCAGAATCCTTTCTTGCCTGGCAACCTGGCAACTGGCCCGGTTGTCGTCTGTCTCGGAGGCCTTGGGGCACGCGGCAAGGTCCATCAGAGACTCTGCAGACAGCGGCGCATCGTCCATCAGTGGCCCAGACTCCGGCGATGTTTGATCGGTGGGTGTGGATGGCGGATGGTGAAGTGAACTTCCCTTTCCTTAGAGGAACCATGTGGAACCCTTTCAGATGTATTTGTTGGGGGATGTGCATGTGGTTGCGTGTCTTTCAAAACAAAGGTAATAGAGCTTCAAGTATGGATGACCAAAGCTTGGAGTACATTGTGTACTATATAGGACTACTAGTGGTTCCAAATTCCAAAGCAAACGCTTTCAAGCTTGTAATCATGCACGGTTCCTATATGGTTGAGTCACAGTCACGCGCTTTTCGTTTTTTTCGTTTTCCCCGGTCTTTCGCAGTGTCTTTCGCGTCGGAGTCCGACCCTAAAACCCGTGCTGAAGCGTCGGCGTCGGTCGTGAGGTTGTGTTTTGATTTGATGTGCTCGTTTGAAATTTCTCGAAGCAATCCCGGTTTGGAGGGAACCGGGTGAGGGCTGTCAAGCAGGACCCGACGACAAACAGGTCACCAATGGTTCGACCTGTGAAATTTCCAACAACCCTCAACATCCTCAACTAACAGCCTGGCCAGGAGGGTGCTGTCAACTCACAGAAGTGTCTGGGGTGTGCCTTAGGTCGACGAGACGACTGGAGCCCGGAACGATGCTTGTGGGCGTCCCCAAAAGCTCGAGGAGTGGAGATGGGAAGGATGGAGACGATTGACGATTGCTCTGGGGCGGGGCTCACATTGTGGCAACTGTGGCAATCATCCTCATGTTTAAGCTAGCGGGCTGAGAACCGCGCTAGTAGTCGTGCACTTTTTATCAAAGCAATGCTCATGTTGTCACACGTTGCGTCAAAGTCAGAACCTTTCATTTTTACTGTAAATAGCAGTGTTTTCTCATGTTTCCTCCGTGGCAAGAGCTTATATGTTTATGTTGCCTTCTTGCATTGTTTGCTGAAATTACTTGTGTTTCCGATTTTTACGCTACTTTTTCGGGACGGTTAAATATGGTTTTCTACATGTTTTTTTTCAGGGTGAGCTTTCATCGAGAACACTGGACATTCGCGCAGGGTTCCTCTTGGACTCTTGGACCTTTGGGACTAGGGTTCATAGGGGGGTGGGGGGGTGGGGGGGGCAATGACGTTTCGGTCCGCGATGTCGAACGTCTTCGTTTTTTACATGATACATCTTGGGTTGCTCCTGTCGCTGTCGCTGGTTCAAGTTTTTTTTCTAAGAACAGGCAGCATGGCTGCCCTAAGTGGTTGCGGTGCGGTCTGCCTCGTGTACATCTTGTTACTTCGTTTTCCGGGTTTCCAGGATGTTGACTGTTTAGATGGTCATTTGCAGCAGTGGTTTCGTGTTGACCCTGACTTCATAGACTCTCTGTTGCAAACCTGGTGTTTGTCCGTAGGAGGGGATCCCCTGGCGGCCGAAGTGCTGTCCACGGTGTGCATCGATGACCAGTGGCTCTTACACGTGGATCTTTTAGATCAACGTGTACCTCTACTGTCTCTGCTATGGTGGACGAAGTTTGAACACTTGTTGGAGACGAGGGAAGTCACGGAGACAATAGTTGCAGCTTTACTAGTTTTGTCACACCGTCTGGGTCGCGCTTCATCGGCAATGTTTCGAAGCATGGATGCAGCGCCTTGCATAGCGCCAGAGATCGCTCCCAGCACTCCTGCACGTGAGCCGCGCACGGCCGATGCTTGCATACCTGCTACTGAGTGGCAAATACTTCGTGGAATCAGAAAAGAAAGATTTTTGAACGACTAATTCGTTTCGTCCGTTCGCACAATCTGCAGGTTTTGTCTTCTCCTGAGATGCACCAGTGGCAACCACAGATTTTGCTGGACACCCCATCTTCGGAATCTGACAGGTCGGATTCTTCAGTATTCCGAACGGAGATGAATCTCCACATCACCTTCAAGCAAAACTGAAGTATTGGTGGCAGATCTCCAGAGAGTGGGTGCCTGCGGATGCATCTGCCCAGGCCGGAAAGTGGTGCATCAGCTGGAATGATGTACTGTTGCTGATCCCTTTGTCGGACGGCCATCTGCGCAGCTTGGGCGCGACAACCTCTAACGAAATGGAGGGACGAGAGTGGAAAAAGTAATTACCTCCAAGTTTTGGGATTGATGCAACGGCCGCCTGACAAAGCTACTTCCGAAGATGCACGTCAGGTGCACCTGTATAGCTTAGGTATCGTTTCTGCAAAAGCAGGAGGTAAACCGCCGCCTGAATCGAAGGAACGCATTTTGCGTTGCAAGGCCATGGAGGACATTGCTCCCCAGACCAAAGGTTGGGCCAAAACGGTTCTGGTGACGGATGGGGCTCCAGCATATGTAGCTTTGGCTAGGCAGTTTGGACTGGCGCACTTGTCTTGCAACCACCGCCAGGGAGAGTTTAATGTTGTCAAGAGAAGAGGGCCACAGCCGTCGCTGGATGTCAACACAGGTTCCATTGATGGGTTTTGGGCTCGCGCCAAGATGGCAATTCCCACATCCATGCACACACTCATGTCCAATGGTCAGGTCAACCCCCAAATCTTCAAGAGTGTCCAAAGGTACTGTTGGAGGTGGGAAAACACGAGTAAAGGTTTGATGCTGTGTACAGGAAACACCGTTTCAAACATCCTTGGACGCTGACGGGAAAATCGTCCGAAGGCAACGCTTGGCTAGACAAGTTTGAATTTGTGTTTCGCTGTAGCGAAATGACAGAATGCCTTCAAAGACCCCCGAAAAAAAGTGTAAATTTCATGGCTGCGTTTGTGAGAAAATGAGTATTTCGCTACAGTGAAACGCAAATTTTGCTTGAAAACCATTGGAAATGAGACGTGCAAGACTTGTTTCTACTTAGTTGAATGTGCCGAAACGCAGGTTTTGAGAGGTTTTCGAACCCAGTGGTTGAAGGTTGACAACCCAAAAAACGCAAAAGCGCAGGCGCAGTTGTCAGCCCGGCCGGATGTTTAAGGACCATGACGTTAGGAATATATATATATATATGTATGGAACCCAGAGGCTCATTGGACCCTCATAGCTAGGGTTTTGACCCTCGCAACCAGGGTTCGGGACCTCAAACATGTAGCAGTTGGTTCGGGTCCATGAGCCCCTGGGAACACTGCAATGTCACAAGCTGTTTGATTGTGCCATAGACTCCCATAGACCAAAGATTGGGCTGGTCTTCTTGAAAGCTGCTTGAACCAGCACTCCACTCTAGGCCCATCTGCTCCAAGTTCAGAGCTTCCTTTCCATTCAATTCCTTCCTCTACCCCACCCCACCCAACCAAATAGCAATGGCCTCCCTCCCAAGAGGGGGGCCTCCAAGCAGCCAACCTCACCAGCCAACCTCACCGTGCTCCCTCGGCCAGCCAATGTATCGTGTGGCGTCTCGTGTTTGCAGGAACGGCCCCCTTGGAATTGTCACTCTCCTCCAGCTCTCAGCTGCAGACCTCGCCCCTCGGGCCAGCTGTCGAAGGAGTCGACCTGTTGGGGGGGGGGCACGAATGACCCAGACAGCAGTGGATCCCTCTACAGACTAGTAACCTGGGGTAGATCAGCAACCTCTAGAGGTCCTTTGACTGCCTAGATGTGCTTAGTAAAATTCGGGGAATGGAGGAAAATGAGCTCCCGACCAGCAGTTCAAATGTCGGAAATGGTACCCAGACACTCCATGTATGGCATATTTACATATCCATTGCCTCCAAAAACCACCCCAATGTAGGTGAATATGCCAGTCCCATGGAGTGTTTGGGGTATATATATCCCGGTCGACCATGAGCGGATCATGACCTTTTGGGGCTGTCTACTGTTGGACAAGACGCGACTCACACTTGTACGACCCAGAGGCGATGGAGGGACGCGTGAAAAGTAGGGGTCTGGGGTTTCTCACCAATCTCTACCCTGGGAGTCAAAGACCATTAAAACAATGGTTGACCTGGTTTTTGTATTGTAAAATCCTTGGTTGATTGGGTAAAGCCTATTAAATTAATGGTTGTTGGAAGCCTAGGGTCTACCTACCAGCATCATCCTGTCTGGGGTTTCTCACCCTACCCGGCCCTACCCTACGTAAACAGGTCGACAGGGCACCCGGACAGGAAGTGGGCCTAAGAATTTCAAACATAGTATTGAGGGTCCGGCCCCAAGATAGAAGGTCCGACCCCTGCCATGGAGGGCCCAACGATTCGTAACGGTAGAGCGACCCGGGACCCTCTCATATGCAGGGGTCGAACCCGAAACCTTTGGAGGGGTCTGGACCCTCAAAACCCGTTTTGAAGGGACCCGGACGGGCTGAACGGAGCGTCTGGGTATGACCATATTTTGGGTCCAACACTAGAGGTCACAACTGTCACAACCGTTAGGTTTCGGGGAACCTGTGAGGGCTGGGGCTGTTTGGGCGCTGTTTTCCAGGTTCAGGAGGCTCCCCAGATCAAACGCTCATCCGAGGTGGACGCTCGAGCAGCGCAAGAGCGGAAGCCAGGCCACGGCGTTGGACGTTGGGATTTTGGGGCCCTTTGTTCGTTCTCCCGATACACTCCATCTCTGCCCAGACGCTCCAAACAGGCCTTGGGCCCTCAAAACCACAGGGATTGAGGGTCCGGACCCCTCCATATGAGGGTCCGACCCCTGCATATGAGGGTCCATGAGCGTCTGGGTGGAATACACATTGACCCACCCATGGCCCACCCCAATGTATATCAGGCATATCTTCCAGTCCCATGTGTCGTGGGTCTTCTCTTCCCTTTTCACCAGCCGAACCGGCGCGCGCGCGAAACGCGCCTTGCATCGACTCGCCGTCGCATGTCTCACTCCCTGTGCGGCTCCGCCGCGCCGAGGATCTGGATGTAGCACTCTCCATGCTCATCCCCAAGGCCCGCGGGACACGGTGTATTTCAAGGGCCCCAGATACGACTAATGGGACTGGTTGACCGATCAGGCCAGGGGTGGTAGGAAGGAGGTCAGTGGGGCGGCGACCTGGAACTTCCACGGCGTGCATGTTTTCTGCCGTTGGGCGAAGCAACATACATTTCAGTCGTTTGCCACCAAAAATGCCGTTTTAAAGGCAGAAAAGGGCATAGCTATGAAGACCCAGGTATGGCATACATGGAGTGTCTGGGATGGTTTAGATAATAGATCCAAGAAGCCCGTGCTTTTTGCCAGGACGGTGTCCAATGGCTAAGGATCTCCAGACAGGACACCCATTCTTGGATGGTACAGGTATATAGATGTTCTTTTACCCGATAAGGATCCTTAGACCCTCCATAGAAGGGGTCGAGCCCTCTATAACAGGGGGTTTGTAGCCTCAAAACCCTTAGCTGTTTAAAGAGGATTTTAGAAGCATTTGATACATACTCGAACGGAGCGTCTGGGTAGGCTATTTGAAACACCCAGGTTCGCTCCCTTCAGAGTCCGACAGGGCCCGAACCAAAACCGGTGAAAAGGCCCCTGCAACGGAGTCGGGTGTCCGAACTCGCAACGGAGCAACGGGTCGCGTGACCAGGCACATGGTCAATGACCAAACATGACCAAACAACCAACCAACAGAGGTTTTTCAGAACCTGAAAAAGACTATAGTCCCAGTTGGGTAGTCCAGGTAGCTTGGTCCTATCAGGTCACTGTCCTGTCCACCTCTGGAAGGTTCGAAGGGGTTCGCCTCTCGAGACTTTCGGACCTCAGAGCCAATCCGTCCGAAAACGACTGACGAGACGTTGCCCCGCACCACCACGGGGCGAGAGTTCGACGGACCCCGATGCAGCGGCCTCCGCAGATCCACCTACCCTGACGCGACCCGGGACCCGCCCCTCGAAGCCTATGCAGGGGTCGGACCTGAATCGGGACGGGTCAGGGGTCTGGGGTCGACCCAAACCCGGTTTTGAGGGACCAGTCGGGCGGTTTGGAGCGTTTGGGTAGCTGTAGACTCTCAAAAAAACAAAACTCTCCATAGCACCATAGATTGTAAAGCATTTGCTCTGAGGCCTTTTGGGTGATTTTGGGCGGTTGAAATACTATCCATTATTCATCTGATATATCTATAAGTGTCAAACCCGCTGTCTGTGCCCCACGAGGAGGCCGACCGGAACGCACACGACAACGACCCACGCGAAGGCACCGGAGGAGCGGTGAGCGGAACGGTGAGGGGAACGGTGATGGGTGAAGAAAGGGAAGAACCAAGAGAGGTAGCCAGCGACCTGAACTAGGGCCCTTTCGCTACCTGAGGTACCCAACTGGGATAGTCTAGTTGGGATCATTCAACCTGTGTTGGAAAGGGATGGGTCAGTTTTCACACGAGAGCCATGGCCCGGCGAACTTCTCCAAAAACGAGCATTTCACCGGTGGTTTTCGTTCCCAGTACTGGCAGTGTATAGCCCCTGGGAGTCAAAGACTATAATGGTCTTAGTCTTTGGGTGACCCGAAGTTCGGAATATCATTGACATCAGTCGGTCAAAATATAGTCGAACTGGACTTCTAGGGTTGCTCTAGTCGAACGACACCGACCTCGGACGAAAGATTCCGAAGCTTCGGGACATCGTCGGCCCCCGCAGGGGGGGGGGGGTTCCTCCCATAGAAACCAAGCCACCAGGACCATCCTGGACCCGGGTGTCCTGGCTGAACAATTCTCCAGTCCACCTGGATGATCTAGGATCTCCACAGGTGAATTTACCGAGGAATGACAAACCAATACACTCCATGTGTAAAATACTTGCCTACATTGACCCCCGAAACCACCCCAACTGATCGGCATAATATGGCAGTCCCATGGAGCGTCTGGGAAAGGAATGACAAAGGTGTGACATCGTAGTTGTATTGAGATCTCTGAGTTCTTGCCAGCACCCGAAAAAAAACACAACCCTAAGGATCCGCACCCTCAAAAACAATGGTTTTGAGGGTACAATGAGGGTACAAACCCTTGTTATAGAGGGTTCGACCCCTTCTAAGGAGGGACCAAGGATCCTTAGGGAAAGAGTAAAAACAACTAACAACAGCTCACCCATTGAGCCCTGCGAGTATGCCCTTGCCAGCCCGATGGAGACATGTTGCAGGGCTGGCAGGGCTTTTCTTCAGATGTTGATATTCGGTCTGCCCTAGAAATTCCGAGTCCGGGCTCGGACAGGCCACCGAAACGCAGGGGTCTGGACCGGAACCAAACCCTACCAACACAGGTTGAATGACCCGAACTAGACTATCCCAGTTGGGTACCCCAGTTACGGGCCCTGGTTCAGGTCGCTTAACCTCTCTTGGTATGCTTTTGAGGGTCCGGATACTCTCCGGGTGGAGACTTTGGAGCTCGCTGTTCCTCTGTAAGGATCCCAGGAGCTCGGACCTACCTCCACCTTCGAACTCGGAACCCGACACCTGTGAACTACAGGGTGATGTACAGGCCCCGAACTAAACCCGTAGTGTTTGAGGGTCCAGATCCTGAGGGTGGAAGCTATGTGAGGTAAGTGCAGGCGGTGAAGGGGTCTGTGAAGGGAGTGAAGCAAAAAAGGAAGAGCTGCTGAGTGAGGGTTTGTGAGCTGCACAGCTTTTTTGGAATTGAACTCCACTCGTTCGAGGGCAAGTGGGCAGTTGATTTGCTCAATAGGGTGGAAAGTCCTCTGCGTGGCACAGAGCCGAGTCAAAAGGCAATTCACCAAGAAGGTGTTCTGTGTTCTACAAAAGATTGCATAACATTGTTTGGAAGTGCAATTTCCTCTATGAAGTTTCCTTCACCTTCATGTGTGTCACATGTACTTGGTGCAGCATTTCCAAGAGCACGAGTAGCAATGAAACACCTCGAACATGTAGAAATCTCCTTATATATACCCAGGGCTTCCAAAGACGCAACAATGCCTAGTCGTTCTCGGAAAGACGAACCTTTGTCACTGGTATATGCTATCACGACGTTTCACGGGCTTTCACGGTCTCTTCTTTTCACCGCCGTTGCTTGGCAGAAGCGTTCAGCCTTAGATGAACTAGAATGCATGGCCGAAACATAACATAGCAACGATAGTGACGATAGGTTCAGGTCGACGTTTCTAGACCCCTCCAAGTGCAAGCAGAAAGCATCTTCATATTCAACTTGGCATGCAGCATCCTGCCAAGCAGTTCTTCCCCAAAAGAAACCATTTCACTACATGAGCCAACCAAGCTCTCCTGAGCTTCGTAAGTTTCAGCAACCACGAGGAGATGTATCGAGGATGGCTTCGAAGCGCAATTTCTTAGTTGACTATGCACCGAAAACATGTGCATGTTTCTTACCACCATCCTCATGCGCATGCCATGCTGCTGCCAAAGCTCGTTTGATCCAGAGCATGTTGTCCTCATCGAGGAAGGTGTGCTCGAAGCGCGGATTGGATTCTTGGCTGCGCAAAGGTGCGAGGAAGTGGATTGAGTCTACTCACACCAGGCTTTATAAATCTTTGACAGGGTACTGTACAGCTTGATTGCCCTCAAGATGTGGCCAAAAGCCTCAGCTTGATAGCTGATTTGAACCACAAGGTTTAGTGTTACTGAAAAACACCAAGTGCTGCACTAGGTTCATGTATACCATACGTGCCAAGATACATGTAGTTTCGGCTTAATCAAGAAATGGAGCTTGTTTTGCCTTGAAGTCTCACCAACAACGATGAACTTGTTCTTAGGTTGCACCTTTCCGATATGAAGCCAAGCTGCTCGAAACTCATTTTTGACAAAAGCAAGTGAGCGCGGCAGAACATTATTCCCTCCTCATACAACTTGTCGGCTTGAAACCTGTTCCTGGGCTGAGAAGGAAAATAACTAAAATAACACAAAGACCAGTAAACTTTCACACCTTTTGAAGACTACCCAACGGTGTCAACTGCTAAAGTAGGGGATCCCACCAAGGCTCAAGAACCGAGGATACCGCTCAACTAGCGAGAACCATCTTGCCAATGAGGACCTGAGCAATTCAGCAGTAAGCCTAGTATCAGATAGTATCAGTATTGCACACTGTGCGCAAAATCAAACTCCATGTGCACCTCACTTTTTGCAGACATGTTGCACACACACACTCATGGCAGGAATGCGTGAATCTCTGACACGATTGCGGGACGCTTCCACCAGCTCATATGCTAGCCATTCAGTGATGCAACGAGAGTTGTACCCTTTGGCTGCCAGCAGCATCTCCAGTCTTCTTGCACACCTCAAGCCATCAGCAACGCTACCAACTCATAGTCCTTTCGCAAAAACATGCACCTCCTACCACCATTATAGCCCTCAGGCCAAGGCACCATTTTCTCTGTGAAAGGCGGCTGGGAGCAAGAAATTTTGCGAGATTTGCAGAATGAGGAGAACGCATTGTAGGCCGTGTCAAGCCTTTGCTGAACACTTTCTGCAGCACTTCCAAAGTGTTCTTCTTCAACAAGCGTCATCCTGGGCAGTAGCATCAGGTCTGAGGAACAGTTGCTCAAAGCAGGTGAAAGTAATAGATCACACATCACACACGCACATGGTCCACAAGCATCAAGGCAAGGATCAGCGAAGAACCGTTCACTCCCAGACACACTCCAATGTTTAGGACGTGCATAGAGCAAAATTTGTGAAGTGTGTGATGCCAATTCCGAAGACATATGATTGGACCTCACACACAGAATCACACAGAAAAACACCTTAGAACACGCACGTTGTTCAAACCCACTAAGACACATGTTATTGTTGCAAGATGAAGCCTAGTGGCTGGCCCCTCCATGGGTTTCAAGCTGCTCAACCAAGAATCGATTCAAATTGTACGATTTGCACCATAGAGCAGACGTCCTGGATTCCAAATCAGTATAACGATCAGTGCCTCGCAAATATGATGGGCACAAGAAGCACACTGGGGCACGAGATCCTGCTTTCCACGAACTGACAAGTCGGAGTGACTGCTTATGGTACAGCCAGTCAGCCCGAAACTCGGTGACACTGAAGCGCATACCATTGCAAATGGGCGTTCCAGCCCTCGCCTTTTGCGCCTCTGTCAGCCCCTCGTTTTGGGGCCCTGAATGTGGGTATAATCCATCATGTAGAAGATTTAAGCTCCAAACCACTCTCCGATAGACTTCATTCAGTGTCTCATGCTTGTAAAGGTGATCTTCCCTTATGGCAAATATGAGCCACCGAGTGGCCCGGCAGCTTGTCGGTCTCCAAAGGGGGCAGTTCAAAAAAATACCAAGCCATTTTTCTGGAGGGTTGTATGACATCTGGCGGACTTTGCACGCGTCACCAAAAAGTCCAAGCGGAACGTGCTCGTGTGTTGCATCTGAAGCAAGTGCCCATGGGCTCCCCACCGTTCGATGGTGAGACCAAAACTCCTTGATTCTATCCCTGCTAATTTGCAGTCCAGCTTCGCAGAACATGTACCTCACCACTGCAAAGGGCTCCAGCATTTTCAGAGTCACAACTTCGTAGCCATCATTTGTTTTTGGTGCTGCCACAGGTGCCCGAAAGGACACAGTTTCCTCAGGACACGAGCAATGTTAATGCAATGCACCTCACTCACCATCAAAAATAGTCGAAAACATGTCCAGAGAGAAACAACAAAATGAAACGATGCAGAGATGTTCAAATGTCAAGCTGCAACAGGCACTCGAAATGCATTCAAGAAGTCACGAGAAGCATTCCATTTGGAGTATTTACCCAATTTCTGTGTCAATTCATGGCAGGATGATCCACTTTCCTCACACACATGCGCATTCACATGCTTTGCAACATGGGTTAAAGCGTGCAGCATCATATAGCGAGTCTTTTCAACTTTGTATGACACTCAAACTGAAATGCTGTATCAGGTCTCTTTCACATGGGATCGAGCTCCACGCATGGCCCTATCAACGCTAGTAACCTAAGCAGCACGGTTCTAGCTTCTTGTCACTGGAAGAGTTCGGTTATGTGGCAAAGAGATCACATCACTTTGGAATACTTGCTTTTTTCCTGTCGGGATAGGTCAGGTTGATTAAGTTTTATGAGTTGTGTACTTCAACACACATGTTTCTTTCCCTCACTTGGATCCAAGGAGCACCAGCCGCAATATCACCGATCGCATTCTTTGCCACGGAGGCATCTGTGGCACCTGTGCATAGGGTCAAGGGCGCCGCAAAGAAACACAAACTTCAAACGAAGTGGTTGCACATGCATGCATG